AAAAAAAAAAAAAAGGGATTTGGGAGCTGTCTCTTTTGGTTGGAGGAGGCTAGTGGGGCCCCTGAGGTGGAAGTACTGGGAGTGGGCTCTGCCCAGTCTGTGGCCTCTGCCAGTAACCTCGATATTTAGCTTTGGCTGCACAAACCGCAGACAGGGCTGAGACTAGAGCTCCGAGGGTAGGGCAGGTATAGGAGCATGACTTGCTGTGACGGCATGGTCCATTTAACACTTAGAAGCTGCTCTCTTCACAGAAGCAAGTCTGTTTCTCAGGGTATGTGCATCAACTGGGGTGGGGGTGGGGCTGGTCTAGGCAGAGGTTGCAGTCCAAAGGCAGGGAATGAGTACCGGTCTCTGATTCATGTTCCCTTCAGATGGAGGTGTTGTTGGGGGCCCCCACAGCTGGCTTTGCACTGGGCCAGCAGTTGCAGGCTGAGTTTCAGTCCACAGAATTTTCCCAGAGATGTTCAGCTAAGGTTGCTGATGTCCCCTCTGCTTCATGGGACTTTTTGACTGAGTGCTTTCATGAAAGAAAACATTGTGGGGCTGTGGATAGAGCTCAGTGACATAGTGGCTGTCTGGCAAGTACAAGGTCCTGAGTTCGATTCATGATCCCAAAACACAAAAAACAAAAACAAACACTGTAATCATATACTGTCCCTACAGCTTCCCCTGCTGCCTGTGTGGCTGGGGAGTGATGAAGTTGCAAGTGAGGAAAGCCCCCTTGGTGGGAGCATCCTTTTCTCCAAGAGGCCTGGATGTCGGCTTAGCCGTTTGGAGGTCCAGGGGCCAGCACCAGTGTCCTCTGTAGCTGTGGCACATTTTTGGCATGCATAAAAGAGCTTATGCTGTCCAACAGGAGTTCACAGGAGACCTACCAGGGACCCCTATAACCTCGGAGACCCCACCTCCCGAAGTTTCTGCCACATTCCTGTGTGCCTCAGGGGTAGAGACCACATTCAAACTGCATCAGAGCCCTTGCATACTTGCCCTGCCACACTGGCTGGAGTGTTTGCAGTATGGACCAGGCACTTGCCAGTCATGTTGGGCACATGCTACATAGGCACAGCAGTCTGGTGGTGCCAGCCAAACTTAGGATCTCTTGGCCCTGGGGACCAAGAGATTTTGGAACCTAAGGCACAGGGATATTCAGAAACTGGGTGCTTGTTCCAGTCTGAGGGACACATAACTGAGGTGGCATGAGCAGAGCCTTTGGGGCTCCTGAGATCAGCTTCTACTTCCATGTACATCTCAGTATTCCTAGGGTATATGCTTACCATCCCTTCTTTCATGAAACCAGGGGGCTGGGGATTTGGCTCAGCAGTAAAACACGCCTAGCAAGCTGGAAAACAAATTAACCTCTCCTAAAAAAATTCAACCAAAAAAAAACAATAAAATAAACACCAACAACACACACACACACACACACACACACACACACACACACACACACACACACACCCAAAAACCAACCAACCAAACAAGGCAACAAGAGCAGTCAGGCAAAGTCACATGGTGAAGGAACATCAGCAAACTTGTGCTGAGTATCTCTGGGAAAATTTTGTGAACTGAAATTCAAATTGCAGCTGTTGGCCCAGTGCAAGACCAGCTGTGGGAGTCCACAATACCACCTCCATCTGAAGGCATCATGAATCAGGGACCGACATTCATTTCTCGGCTTTGGACTGGAACTTGTGCCTATAGATATGGGCCCTGCCACAGAGCTCTGCAGCACCCCTTCCCTGCTCGAGCTCCCATAGCAGAGGTGACTTCTCCAGCAGGCAGGGAGGTGGACCATGAGCTGACACTCCCATGGATTTAGCTACCTTCCACTTGCAGGAACATGCTGCAGACCGACTGGCCCACCAAGAGCTATGGCAGCAACAGCTTAGTACTTGGATGGGGCACTGTAGACAACATGCTTTCGGCCTATGTACCTTGTCACATGGAAGATGAGTCATGATTTGCAGCTGTACCAGCTGTATCTGCACTCATGACCAATTTGTCTTATTTCTCTCCTTAGAAACACCTCCTGGGGTACAAAACCTACACAAAAAAGATTTGCCATTGCTAACTGCAGAGGGTTATTTTACTGGGCTACCATTTAACAACTTTAAGCACAACAAAACCCAGCAGTAGCAGGGTGTTGTGACTTCTTTGGAACAAGCTGTGCCAACATCCTTGGTGCACCAGATGAGACAGGTGGTGCCTTTGTCCAGACTGGCCAGTCTCCCAAGCCTCCTGCTGGAAATAGACATGCATCGACCCACCAGCTGACACCTTTGTATGGCCTTTTCATTCTCTTTAAACTTTCAGAGGAACAGTTAAGAGCTGAGACCTCATGGGCTTTTGGTCTGCACAACTGTGACTCAGCTGAGGCCTGCACTAGTACTGACCTGCAGGACCTCAACTCCCCACTGCTGTCCACCCACACCAGTGAGACAAATCTTGATCTCACACAGGCCAGTCCAGACCAGGGGTGACAGCACCATTTTGTTCTAGAAGAGCATCCCACAGAAATGGCCACCCTGGGACACAGGGGTCAGAAGCATTTCTGCCCATTGTCCCACGGTGCCTCAGCCCAGACCTACTTCCTCCAGTACCAGGCCCAGGACTTTGGCACTTGTGAGCTCCTGGTTTATGGGCAGTAATACAGAAAGGAGGTTTCCAGAAAGGGGATCTGCTCATAGGACTGAGGTGACTTGCACTGTCACCAGTACACTGGCAGTCATCAGTTACACTGGAACCTGAAAACTGGCATGAAGAAATGGGTGTGAATGGTTGCACCTCCCTGACAACTTAAAAGCACCCAAGCTTGGAGCCCTGTGTGGATGGAAATCCTGCACATTCAAGAAAAAAGACTTGACTTTTCCCCACCAGCTTTCCCTCACTTGTAACGTTTTATATCCAAACTTTAAAAATACAGTTTTATTTATACCTAAAGTTACAAATGGATATTAAATTCTACCCTAAGGACAGATGGCAGTTTTATAAAATGAAACTACAAAATACTTTCCACGAGAAATAACTTACACCACGAATACTGTATCACTACAAATTTTATTCAGAAACCCATCTTTGTGTTTTTTTTTTTTGTTGTTTTTTAAAAAAAAATTCCCATTTTATGAACTGGTTTGGTCAATCAACTACAACACTTTCTAGCAGACATACGGTAAAAATGGCATGGCTCAGAATCGCCCCGATCTTTCCCGATCTCTTGACCTCCTCCGGTCTCGCTCCCGACCTCCGCCACCTCCACCACCGCCGCCTCCACCACGACCGCGGTCTCTAGACCGAGAGCGCCGCTCCCGGGACCGGGACCTTGACCTATGCCTGCAGTCAAGGAAAAAAACACATCGCTGTCAGGGCTGCAGGTGCAGCATGGTTCTGCAGGTGCGGACACCTCAGGGGATTTAAAGTGCTGGGAAAATGCACACTTTAGAACAGAACAAGCATGATACCTTCTACCCTCTCCATTTCAGAATCACCAACCTGGCAATCAAGGCAGGGCATAGCATAAAAGGCTCCTCACCTCTGCCCTCTGCCAACCTTAGGAGCATATTAGGCTGACTTGGGTGGGGATAGAGGAGAGGTGGCTGTTTTGTTCTCTGATGCCACTTGTGGACAATAAGAGATGCCTCAACAGTGCCTATGCTTCCTGACACCTGTTCTAGAGAGGCGAGAGGCGAGAGGCCTCCTAGGATTGGAGGCCAGCCTACTGGGAAGCCAGCGATGCATTACACACCCTGGGCAACTTGACCTCTCTGCTATGGAATGAGACGGGATGAGACATGACATGAATGCTGGATAAATCTTTGGTTTTGCTTTTGGAGATAGGACCTCAATGTGTTCCAGGCTAGCCTTGAACTCACTACATTGCTAACTTGGTCCATGAATGCTTTCGTTTGCAAACTGTGCATCAGGTCACAAAAAAAGCTACTATTTTTCCTCCACAAAAATAGCCAGGTTTTCCAGAAGTGTGGAACATGCATGAAGTACCAAGGTACCACCATATGCAGCCCAAGCTGGCCTCAAACCTTGTGGTGCTGCTCCTGACCCAGCCTCCCAAGTACTGGGATTACAGACATGTGCCATCAAGCCTGGCCTCATAGCTGTGTATTTAATAAAGGCACGACCAGGCAGGTAAGACCACTGTGTGCATGGTTTGCAGGGAGGACGCTACAAGTGCCTCCAAGGAAATGAAAGCAGTTCCCTAAACCCCAAGGGACATACGCAGTCTTCACAGCAAGTTACTAAGAGAACCAAAGGCTGCACACGCTGCCTCTCAGTAAGAAGCTGCTTACTCAGTCCTGGTCTGACTGAGCCTTTTATCTCTGAGCAGCAGGACCATTCAGCTGCTGCCTGTGTGCAGATATGTGTCATGTTCTTATCCCCAAAACTGGTGTCTTTCAAGGACAGAATTTGTCTTGTCATGGGTGACCCATGAATTTCCAGTGACACCCAGAGTACTCACTTCTTGCGGCGTCGCCCGTATAGCTCTCGCCGCAGCTCTCTGGAAATCGGCTTCAGGTGCATGAAGTTGCAGAAGCCTCCTCGTGTGCACTCCCTGTGGGGAAGGCAGATGAGATCAGGATGCTGCCAAGCACCCCTTGGGTGCAGTTACTTGCCACATGGGGCCCACACTCACCCCATTTCATACTGACGGCAGCAAGCTTCCCTGAAGTCGGTCACGGGCGAGAGCTCAGCATGGATTGGCTGTCCGTTAAACCAGCGGTTATTCAGGTCAATCACAGCCTTCTCTGCATCCTCCTCACGGCGAAACTAAAATGACCAAACCAATACTCCTCATTCACATTCCATTAGCCTACTGTGCAGCCCATATACACACACAGGTAAAATAAGGTGGAATGGTGCTGTACAACTGAAAGATCAGCCCCACCTTTATTTGCAGGGAGAATGATAGTCCAAGATCAGACCAATGCTGCCTTTACTTTCAATTGATTTAGAGCAAATGCAATACATGTGTAGAAAATGAGATTAAACTTATCCCTAGTCTGACAGCTCTAACCCACAGCCATGCAGCCCTCAGGGTTTCCAGTTAGCAGCTCACAGATGCCCACTCCCTGCCAGCTGGGCTGCCACGCTCCTACCTTGACATACACATTCCCCACAAGGTGGTCTCCCAGGTTGTCACAGACGTTCATCTCCTCCACTTCCCCGTACTTCTCCTCCATCTCTGTGAAGACCTCCTGGAGGGAGAGCACAGCATGAGGACCACACCCCACCTAGAGAAGCAGCACTGTCACTCACAGTGTCTACTGAAGGGGAAGAGTGCAAAGTCCTCTGACCAGCTGGGGGCAGGGCTGTGGCCAACCAGCATGCTCACCTCAAAGAACTCATCATAGTGCTCCTGCATCTCCACATCGCTCACGGCACCTGCGGATGAGAGATAGCTCACTGGTTAGAGGTCGGTAACTGAGCGTGCTTGTCCTTACGCTCAACTGCTAGTGACACATGATTGTCTAGAGGACACCAGGCCAGAGCTGCGCGGTACAGGAGCACCAATTTACAGGACTTAAGAGTGTGCTGAGACGGTTAAATGCCCCCACAACAATCTCCATTTTGGCTACCAAAACAATCACCAGTTTTAATCAGCATCAAAAGGGCATTTTCAGAAAGTGAGGAGGAAATGGCTGACTCTCAAAAATAACATATTTTAAAATAAAATTTTCTTCTAAGTTTAGAATAGAGGCCAAGTAAACACATTTTTTTCCTTTATTAGGTGAAAAAACAAGCTGAAATTTAGGTTCACGATTAAGAGCTTATATGTCTAACTGGTTTCTTTTACACGGCCAGCCACAGAACACTAGAAAATTCTTCTGATGTGATTAAAACCGAAGTAACGAGGCTTAGTACCATCACCAGGTACAACCTCAGTATTCTGAGTGCCCCTCAATAAAGGGAAAGCTACAATGCTTTGTTGAAGATAGCATTCTTATTTATTCCAAAACTATTTTCACCCGTTTTTCACATTCACATGCACTAAGTGAAATCATATCCATTGCATGGGTGATTTTGCAAATTTATACTCTAACCCCATTGGCATCCTACCACATTTTAATGTTCAAAGTCAAGTTCTTTTAACCTAAATTTGAGAAATCACACAGTACTATGTCAATGAAGTCATGACAAGCTAGGTCAGAGGCTGGTAATGGCTCAAATGGCTTCCAGGCTGGACTGACTTGGGATCCATCACCTTTCACAGCCACATTCCTGGGTAATACATGAGCTGAGGAGCCCAGCCACTGCCCAACTGGTGTGCCACCATGGGCATCTGACTAGGTCCAGGTCTGGGGAGTCCAGAGTGGCTCCCTTGAGCTCACTCAGAACCCTCCTCTTCTATTAGAAAAAGAGCTAACTTTATCTTCAGACTTGGAGAATGATTTTGAATCCCTTTCCTAATATACCTGGGGCTGTGCTTCAGTTGTTTCTGAAATTCCAGGAACTCAGTTTACCTTAAAATCCAAAGCTGATGGATAAGCCCACAGTTTGATGGCCAGTCTGCCACGGTACCCCAAATAGCAAGTGACAGCCGGCAGGGATGTACCTCTGCCCCCAAGAGTAGTCCGGTGACAAACAACAGAAAAGCTACCCAGAGGCTGCTCTAGAAGCAGCATGGATTTCAACATGATTGAAAATTCATTTCCTTTTCCATACCAGAGAGAATGTTGAAAAAAAAGTTTAAATGTCCCAAGTTTTAGCAGCTTTGAGAAGTGTTTCCTGTTCTTAAACTACTGACTATATTCATTCTGCCTTTTTTTTTTTTTTGCGAAACCAGGGATTGAACTCAGGACCTTGCACTTGCCAGGCAGGTGCTTAGGCCATTGAGCTATGTCCCTGGCCCTGCCTAAAATTTTTAATCAGTCAAAACGACTTGAAAGCAAAAGCCAGTACATTAAGATACTAATTAACAGAACATATTATGACTCCATATATTTAAAGAAACACAGCTTTGAAAATGACCTTTTTTCTTTTACAGAAATGTCACTTGTAAACTGGGATTATTTAACATTTATCCATGCATATGAAGCTCATTTTTCTAAAAATGAAAGGGTATGTTAAAAAGAACCAGTGATTTTACTTAGGTTAACTGATTTCCTTTCTAAAATGCAAAATTTAGTATACTTTGTTTGATGTGAACCCTAGAACAGGAATGGTAAGTAGAAGCTAAATGTTTAGTTTACAGGATATGCAGAACAAGATTATTATGACTTGAATGAAAATAGACACAAAGTAAGCTAATGCATCACTATTGTCAATACAACATATAGGGCCAGTGAACAACCAGGGAAAGGTTTCTTAGCTGCAGTTACTCAGTCATCTACTTCCCATTTGTTTTTACCCAGGGCAAGGCCAACAAATTAATGAGTCCATAATAAAGACTTCCCTCCACCTAGTGACACCCCGTCCCACCCTATCCCTGGCATACCAGGGATTGAACCCAAGACACTAAGCGACATCCCCAGACCTGCTTATTTTTATCTTAAGACAGGGTCCAGGGTCTGGTTAAGTTGCCCAGACTAGGCATGAAATCGTGGTCTTCCTGTCTCAGCCTCCCAGAGTGCTGGGATTTCCAGTGTGCACCAACATGCCAAGTTGACCCTATTTCTTCTTTAAACAATACAAAATACCAAGTATTTTAAATCAGGATTACCAAGTAAATTCTGCTAATATCAAGTCAGGGAGAGAAATCTCTACTAAGAAGTCAGTACTAGCATCAGAACCATGTAGTAGTACCTCAGCAGAAAAAAAGAAAATCCCACCCCATACAGAAATGTGCTACCCGCCATGGGGCAATGCCCGAGGGTGGCTCACACCCCAGAAACCCAGAGGTCATATCAAGGCACCTGACTCAGGCCTGCAGCTCTCCAGGGTGGTCTCTACTTTTTCTACTGTTTTAATGTGAACTGGTGACTGACAAGTCTCTATCCTGTGGTTTGGACTCATTTTACCAAGGGTCCAGGCATTCATTACAATGTACCCGTATATGACTAAATTCCAATTATTTTACTGGATAATTGTAAAAATTACAATTTTATTTCTGAACTTTTCAATGATACTAATCTGTATCCTGTTCTTTAAAAACTTCCATTCTGCAAATGCACATATCCTACACATAACACTTCCCAGCACATGAAGAAACCAGGTGCTTCCTTAAGGTTAGGTTGGATCTGCTTCCCCACCAGGCACCCTAAGTTTCCCAAAGGTCGCACACTAGCTCCTCAGATTGGGGATTTATCTATGCAAAGTAGGTGGCTGAAAAGTGTTTCTCTTCTGCCAAGCACCTATTTGACTTAGTGCACGGCATGGGTGTGGCAGGAAGGCTCAGGGGTCAGCGCGAATTGCAGACTCTTGTCTGGGAAACACCAAGCAAGGCTCTCAGAACGAGAGAGGCCTCCAAAGTGGAGCTGAAGCAAAAACTGCTAATGAGAAATGAAATCTGAAAAATTTTGAAGCAACATGCTTTTGAGAGGTCTGGAAAGAGAAACGTTCTGATACTGCTGCTCTTAAGAGAGAAGAACAGAGCTCCAACTCAATCCCGGTGCGTCCCCAGGATGATGGTCCAGGTGCGGGAGGAAGAGCAGCAGGTCCGAACTGTTTCAAAAGGTGCCCTGTCCCGTCACAGCTGTCCTTGTGAAAGGGGCAGGAGGTGCTCAGCTCTCCAACAGAGGCTTCCACGGGCCAGGGGACAAGCTCCTGCCACCTCTCTCGAACTTGGCCCTTGACACTAGCACAGCAGGCCAGGTGGAGTGGACACTGAGCTCTGACACGCAAGCCCAGGGAACCAGGGAAGAACGTGTATGAACTTACAGCGCAAACCGTCAGCAGACTGGGAAGAGTTTTGAGGGTTACGGTAAATGTTCAAGAGGGCAATGGTCTGAAATACAAAACGCAACAACTTTATATTATGGAAAATTAAATGTAAACACTTCACCGGTTGCCTTTGGTGATCACTTCAGTTGAGAGTCAGTGCTGAAAAAAGAGCAGGTTATTTTCTTCAGAAGCAGAGATGTTCCCTTAGTTGGTGGCTGCCTTGAACTACCTAACTACAGTGACAGAGATCTCATGAGATGCCAATACTGTACTTCTGCTTACAGAGTGCAGAAACAACACTCCACCTCAGATCCCAATCCAGGCCAGCAACTACCAAAATGATCTTAGATGTAGCAGAAAACTTAAACAGAAAGAAAAGTGCCTCTACAGATGGATGAAAAAATTGCTGTATTAGAGAAATACAATAATTACATGTCATGAAATCTCCACTTCCTAGAGGAAAAATTGTAATGGTGAAATAAAACCCACACTTATTGGGCAACTTACCTTATTGGTTCCTTAATTTTCCTAGCATTTTTAATTTACAGAAAGAACTTAATAAAGGCCAAGGGTTCAGTCACTGGGAAGCCCAATGATCGGCTGCTAAAGTAAAAGCTCGCTTCACAGAGCAGGCGCTCTCTTGACCAATGGTGGTCAGTGGAGAGGCCAGCCAGTGACTTCCCTAGCAGAGCCTCCTGAACTTGGCCTCATCAAGTTCTGGCTGTGTGCGCCACGCGGTTCCAGTACCTTGTCCTGTTTGCAACAGCTCTATGTCAGCAGCTCAGAGCCAACATTATGTCTCAATTAAGAGTGGGCTCTTGAACACCATTGTCTTAAAAAAATTTCTCCAACTGTGGGACTTACAGTGTGAGCCGTCAGCCGTCTGTGCACTGTTTTGGGGATTACGATAGATGTTTTGAATCAAGATGGTCTGCGGGGAAAAAAAAATAAAAAGGGGAATTCTACTGGCTGCTGTGCATATATTAGACAATTGCAAAGAGACAATTTGTTTGCAATGGCTAAACGTTTGTTTTTGTTTTTCCCGCAAGTCAGACACTTTGTCCTGTGCAGAGTACACCAACACCATCATATTATGAAAACAGAGTCTGAGCAGTGACTTGGGCCAAGTCAGCCAGCAACCAAGAAGAAACTGTAGCTTGTTTTGAGTAGTCCCCATTATCAATAGTGAAGTGCTTTAATACAAGATAAGTAATGGCACACCAACACTGTCTTGTACTTCAAGCCAGCAGACACTAAGATGTCAAAAAAAATCCACATTATAATCATATTGCCCACACAAAATTAAGTTTTCTCAACCAAATGCATAGCTCAACTGTATGCAGGACATCAAGTTCTCTGGTCTCTTTAACAAAACAGGCACACCAAGTGGTCATGGATACCTGACTCTTATTTACACTTTCTTGGTGGGATCTCTGTTTACATAATACAATAGTTAAAACATTTGCTCTTTTCCGATCCTTCTTTTAAGGAAAATAATCCTTTTAGCCCTTGTCCTTTAAACTGGATCAGGCAGACTTGAAACCTTACACTGTACCGTTCTTCTTAAAATCAAGTTGTCTGAAAAAACAAACCATGTTTAAGTTAGTAAGCTAATATAGTACATGAATCTCATTGTCCACATCACTGTAAGCAGCTTACAAAGAAACCCACCCTAAATTATGCTAGATTTACAAGCTAAACCAAGACACACATGACTTAGAAAAATAAGCGCTGAGTCTCAATAACCTGAACGTAGAGAAGGCAGTTTGCAAGTCCTTCACAGACCTTCTGGCTCTACTCTGAGCCACATTTGAAGGGGTATGGAGCATGGGTGGCTATCCAAGGCCTGCTGCCACATCCTCCTGGAGGAAGGGCTGGGAGCAGACTGCACATTGGGAACCTCAGGACTGAGGCAGTCATCGGGGGTTTCATGATCTGACTTCTCAGCTTTCTACCAGAACTACTAGGTGGAATGCCTCTTAGGACAAACTAAATGGAACCCAGCTATACAACAGAAAGCTCCACATAAAGCAGCAACATGGTTCCATTAAAATTAAAGAGTGGCCAGGGTGACTTCCAATGGATCAGAACCAAAAAAGATGTTTGGTTAACATACTACTGATCCACTGAACCTTAACGGTAGCACTACCTTGCTCTAACCCACAGTGCTTAAACTGACTTCACATTTAAAATCCTAGGTTCAGAGAAAAAAACGAAGCAAGTGCTTCTGCTTGTTTAGAGGACACTCTCAAGAGGAAGTGGTTTGGCTCCCAGACCCCCAGCTCATCAAAGACCTGGGGAGTCCCATGATGCTTAACGACTGCAAAACAAATGGCCACTGGTTTAGTGGGGAAAATTTAGTTAATAAACACAATAATTAAATTAAACAAAAGTTTAAAGTAAGTTCTCAGACATCCTGAACATTGAATCTCTGGCAATCAAGAAAAATACAAGGGAAAACCCATGATACTCACCCCCTCAAAAAAACAATTCTGTTGTGAGGTTTTGAGGGGCTTAAGTTATAAAATATCAATTTCTCTATTTCAGCTCACTTATAGTAACCAGCAGAAAAATAGGCCTAGGCTGTGAGAGGGGCAACATGTGGAAAGAGGTATACTCGGGAGAATGCAGGAGCTGCCCAGATGCCAGGGCTGCACATGCAGATCCTAGGGTGGCAGGAGCTCTTCACCTTCCCAAGTTCACACATTCTTATAGACTTGGGTGGACTCTCCTTACTGCTTCAATGAGAGGCACACTCTTTTTGATCATTCGTGTGCCTTGGTAGGGCATAAGTCCTGGTCTTTTTTTTCCTTCTACCTGCCACAGATGAAACTATAAAAACCCAAAATTTGGGGCTGGAATGAACTCAGGGCAGATTTAAGTCCAAGACTACAGACCTGCTACAGACAACAACAGATGTCTTTTACTGTTAGGTTTTACCTTAATGTTTACATAACATGGTGCAACCTACTATTTGTTCAACTTGGGCTATGAAAATGGGGACACCTCTGAAGTGGTGCTTGGGTCCAGAGACCAAGCAGATCAGCACCAAGCATAAGCTGACAGATAACTGTCAGGATTCTGTAAGCAGTGGCTGCACAAGCAGAGCAAAAAAAAAAATGCCTGGAAAAGAAGTGCAGTAAATGCTTCCAGATCTATGAGGAGGTGGGGACACAGGAGGCAGTGAAATCAGTTGCAGCCAACCTACACTGGACACTTGTTTTTAAAAAGTTTCTAATGGGACAGGATCCCAGCAGGGACGGTTCACTTGCTTGAACAAGGGAACCCATGAACACAAGTGAAAAAACACAACCTGGGAGGAATGACTCCTTTAATATGTTGAAATTACTTATCACATCTGAAAAGCACACGAAAGCTCAATAACTATGTGACGACAAAAAAGAAAGAAAAGAAAAAACAAACCTGGCTAAAGGTCGGTTTATTGTGCAACCGAGAGCACCTGTCTCCATGACGACATGCTCCAATTTTGAAATAAAATGAGCAGTTGACTCTGCAAAGGAAAATAAGATCAGATTATTTTGCTGGGAAGACAGAACATGGAAATATGTCATTAACATGCTTTACCCTAACACACTACTCCTTTTATTTCACAGATGCATAGGCACATAGCTTCTCACTTATACTTTTCCCCTTCACTGAAACATTTTAGGGTGCTTTAATTTCACATCCTTCTATGAAAATGCTGCTCTTCCAATAAAGCTCACACTAACTTGACCCTGATTATTCCTCATGCAAAACTCTTCATACTTGTATCTCCTGCTTCCTTTAAAAAAATGAAGTATGCATGTGTCTAAAACTAAATTTAACTTAACTCTTATCTGGTCTACTTTTCCATGATGAAATTCTAGCCCAGGGGTCACCAGCACAGTGGGGGGGGGGGGGCTGACCAGCTGCCTGCACAGCACTGAAACACCCACCTCTCTGAGTCTCAGATACCATCTGCAAAATGAGAAAAGCACCACCCTGACACTGTCCCAAGGGTCAGGTCTCATACACATGCCTCATACAGAGGGCTCACTTAGTGCCATCACTAATTAAGAAACAAAGTTCAGGTTCTCTTCCAACTTGTATCAGATCAAGAGGAAATTTCCACATGTGTCTACAGGAAGTAACTCTCTCAATTTCAATAGATGGAAAACAGGCTATCACAAGATCCAGCATGCCTCAGGAACTACTCATTACCACCTTCTGTCTCTACTCCAAAGCTTTAATACTTTTCAGATGTCTCCATGATCACATCAAAGCAATTCAGCACCTGTGTGGCAGCAATGTCAGGTGTCTGGCAGATCCATGATAAGTTATGAAATTTTACAAATTATTGGCTGGACCCCATTCAAGTTTTAACTTGAGAGGTGTGAGTGCTACCCTGTAGATTTCTTTTATAAAACTTAAACAAGGTTCATGTTTAGGTGGCCAGTCTAGAGTTCAGATCTAAGGCATCAATGTTCATGAACCATGAAGACTGATTAACTGTATTTACCACAGGCAGCAATAAAGATATGTAGGTCAGAAGAAAGTGACTACTGTGTGTAATTTACAAACTTTTAAGTCCCATTTGGCTAACTTGATTAGACAATAACAAATTTTTAGGTTAGTCAAATGCAAATGAGATTATTTTTGAGACAGTGCCTCAGTATGCAGTTTAGGTTGGCCTTGGCCTCTCTGTGTAGTCCAGGCTGACCTCAGACTTGCAGCGGTCCTGAGCTGCTTCAGCCTCCTCAATGCTGGATTACAGGCATGTGCCACTCTGCCCGGCTCAAACAGTTTTTAAAAACATATCTTCTGAGCCTGGCATAGTGGTGCATTCCCATAACTCCAGCATTTGGAAGGCTGAGGCAGGAGGATTGCTGTGAGTTCCACGGCAGCTTGGGCCACACAGTGAATTCAAAGCCAGTCCGAACTACATAAGAAGACACTGTGTCAACCAAAAAACTCATCTCATAATGGACAAAATCAACGGGACAATACTCAACTATCCTACACATGTAAAATAATTCTTATTCCTGGTACTTTCAACCAGCTAATTCTTTTAATTATTTATAGTAAATTAATCAAATTTTCAGATGTGTTTACAAAATTAGTGAAATTTAAAATACTGACATGAGAAAAGGGTGATTTACTACCACAAACTGTTAGAAAAGCTGCTCTATACCTGGATATAAAATAATGTAAGTTAAGTAAGTCATACATTACGCATCTGGTTTAAATTGGAAAACAAAAATGAGCGGTGTGGCGGCACATGCCTGTAATACCAGCACTTGGGAGGCTGAGGCAGGAGGACTGCTGAATTCCAGGCCAGCCTGGGCTACTTAATGAGTTCAAGCAAGCCTGAACTACATTCTTACGTAGTTCTGTCTCAAAAAAAAAAAAAAAAAAAAGTGAATAGGAACCAGTATCTTCATTTTCAGGAGTTGATCTTCTGTAAGCTAGAACACCTAAAATTTTCTTTTTGAATCAAAACTGACTTTATACAGTTTTGCTCTAGTAGACTGAAATGGCTATTTATATGAGGAATACAAAAAACTGTTTCTGGATCAAGTAAAGAGTTTCTTAAAACAGTGAGAAAGCTACATAGAACAGCCTTTCACAAGACAGAGCTGTGGCACACACACAGAAAAGGGGAAACCACCGATTCCCTCCAATTCTGCCTGGGTCAAACCTCCAGCCAGGGGGGATACCTCTTTTTAGATGTTGGTCTACTCATCCTCCAAGTTTATAAAAGGCTCTCTTCTAAGCCACCTCCTGTGACATCACAGCATTTACAGCACACTCTTTCATAGTAGTTAGCACATTTTAATTAATTTTATTATAATTATCCCCAAAGCCCCGACCACCACTAGTTCCCTGAGGCTGACCTACAGTTGACACCCAGTAAATGTTTCTGGGGTGACTAGGACTGCTAATGTGGGCATGAGAATTTGTATAAAGACATATACCCCCTTTCCTTTTTTTTTGCAGAACCAGGGATTTGAACTCAGCGCTTATTCCACTGAGCCATCTCCCTGGTCCCTATACCCCCTTTCCTAAACAACACAGGAAATTCTATCATGTGTAAAGAAGACATTTGACAGGGCAGCCTCCATCCTGGAAAACAGAAACATTTTTAAGTTTGAAAAAGTGGCACCAAAAACATTCTATCACAAATTTAAGGGGTTATCATTAAGAATAGAAATTTGCCCAAGTTTTGTAGGGCACTTAAAAAGGCCACGGACATGAACTTATTTAGAGAGCAGATTAAGCCAGACACTCTTTAGGGTTTCAAAGTAGGAATTATCTTTCAAAGCGTCTCAAGACACTATGCAAACCCGAGCCAACGCTGGAAATAACGCTCCAATTAAACAAAAGTGAAATTTCTTTGAGCCCAATGACTAGGGGAAGCGTTCGATCTTACCCCCCCCCACAAACTCGAACATAAAATAAAAGCACCCAATTCATTTTTTTGTTTAACACATGCTCTCGCTATGCAGTTCAGGCCTTCAGATCGCTTTGTAGCCCAGACTGGTCTTGAACTCGCAGCGATCCTCCTGCTTCTTCCTCTCGAGTGCAGGGATTACGGGCCTACGCCACCGCACCCAGCTGAGAAATGCAGATTTTATGTGTTTTTTAAATCTGTTTTTTTTTTTTTTTTTGTACTGAGAATCGAACTCAGGACCTTGTACTTGCCAGTCAGGCAGTAATGCTGCTGAGCTACATCCCCGGCACTAATTTCCTAATCAGCTGCAATCACCAACTATGCGACTTCCAGGGCTGGACGGCTGAGCCCGGAATCTGCGCGACACTTTCCCGGGTCAGGGGTCAGAGGTGCTGCTCGCGGCCGGACCTCCGTTCAGGCGGGCCGGGGACCGGTTCGCAGAAGCGAACCCACATGCGCGGCCTAAGCGACTCGGAGCTCGAGCACTGGTGAGCTGAGCCGCAGGCCCAGGCCGACGACGACAGTGAAGGCTCACGAGGAAACGTGCTGACCCGGGGGGGCCCAGGCCACCGAGGCGCGAGGCGCGAGGCCCGAGGCGGGAGAGGCAGTCGGCGCCCATTTGCCCGCGCCGCCCATGAGGCGGGCGGGTCCACGGCGCGCGAGGCCGGAACGGCCGCCGCTCTTTCCCACTGCGCCCTCCCTCGCCGCTCGGGCCTCCCGTCCACCCTGCGCCCCGGCCGTCGCCGAGTCTGCGCTCCGTGGGGCGGTGCTCACTCACTTGTCTTTTTCGGTGCCGAAGATGGAGGCCAAATACTCCGCCATTTCCCACAGCTGCGGTCGCCGACCCAGCCGCCGACGCCGCCGACCCTGCCGACGCCCGCGGGAGACGTCACCGGATGCGACGACGCTCTCTCCACCCCGACGTGGAGGCGCTGGCCAATCGGGAGAGGCGCATGGGCGGGACGCAGTTCGCGCTCAGCCTCCGCCCCGCCGGACACGTGCTCCCGCGCGCCCCCTGCTGGTGACTTTTGTGCGTGCTCAGCTCTGGGAGTCCTACACAGCCGGCTGGCTCTGCGACTTGTCATATGTGCCCCGGAGGGCAGAGACCCTTAAACCGCCGTGTGCCCCCTCCACCCTTGCCGGTGTGTCCCCCACCCCGCACCTTTGTCAGGTGGGATTCCCCAGCCCTACCGCCTGCTTGCTGTGGGCCACCAAAGGCCACCTAGCGGCGTGCTTGGAGGGCCGGGAACCTGCTACTGGGAGGAGTTCTGCCTCCACCTTCTACCCCGGACGGAGGCAGTCATTCTCTGATGTCCACAGTTACCATCCCGACTAGTTACCTGATTTCCAGCCCAACTGCCCTGTAAGGTTGGGTATCAAAACAGAGGGACACAGCCAGGTCCTCTCGTTTCTGCACACACCTAGTCCCAGCTGTGGGTAGGCCACGGGGTCAGCTTAAAGGATTTGGTTAGGACGCCGTTACTGTTGGTCACAGGACCTCTGATCTGGGACAGGTGGCTGGTGAACAAACTGGAGACCTTGCAAGAAGAGCAGGCTTTAGGCTGAAAGGCAAGACCAGAAACTGGGCAGACCGATGCCAGGCCAAGTGAACACTCCAGGAAAGATGTCAGTAGGAAAGTTGGAAGCTGGCAGAGTGGGCTTGGCTCTGGATCTCTGCAGGAATGCAAGGGTAAGGGCTGTTTGTGGGAACTGAACAGAAATAGACTTTCAGGACGAATTAATCTGGTCAATAAAGCTGGGGTAGATGACCAGACCAGGACCACCTGCATGGTCCACCCATTTGTGCTCCATCTGTCTATCCTACCCATCTATCCACCCATTCACCTGTCCTTCCTTTCATCCATAGCCATCCTTCCACCCATCTACCCACCCATCCATCTAGCTACTCATTTTTCCTTCTGTCTGTCCATTCGTTCGCCTACCTGTCCCTCCAGTCAGCCACCCAAGTATCCTGCTGAGTGGGAGCAGCCTTGTGATGACCACCGTTGGAGCAGGTGCTCAGATACAACCTGCTCTCCAAGTGATCTCCACTTACAAGTCTGTGGGACACTTCGAGCCCAACTTGTCTCCACTTGATCTCATTTTCTCCCCCTCCTCCCATCTCTGGACCTTGTGCTCCAGCATTTAGTGACTACTCACCTGGATCCTCCTTGGCTTTCCAATTCTTACCTCTGTGGAAGCTGAGCACATTGGAAACAACTTCATCTGCAGTCACAGCAGTGACAGTAGCCCCAGCCTCTTGCCCATCCTGCTGTTCACCCTGGCATGTTGTGCACAGGCTGCTTTACATGTCAGAGTATGGAAGCATGACTTTGATGTGGAACACAGAGCTCTTCTCAATGACCTGTGACCATTAACTTGGAGCTGATGGAGGTCTGTGATTCTGTGAGGACCAGAGGAGCAGACCATGGTAAATGGGCTCCTGTAATATGTGACTGCTAGCACAGTTGCTCCTGTGGGATGAGCAGAGTGCAGGTCGAGCCCAAGACAGTTTGTGTGGACCACTTCTTTTGGTCATTCTAGCATGTCCTTACAAAAGCCGCAGTCTGCCACCCTGACCATATAGTCTTCTCTTGGACTAGCTGCTGCTGTCTTTTGGGATATCCACAAATCTTTCATCTTCCTGCATTCTTTGAATGTTAGCAAATTCTTCTGCCAGGCTTTCACACACCACACAGAGCATGCATGGCAGCAGTAGGGAATCCTTGACTCCTCTCCACCATCTCTGCCTCCTTCTTCCTCTGAGCTGGCCTCAGTGCACCTTTTTAAAGAAGCTAAGCTTCCCACTCTTGGTACTGGGACTGAACCTTGGGAATGCTAAGCTCCAGCCCTTTTTACTTTTTTCTTTTCTTTCTTTTTTTTTAATGTATTTAGTACAGGGTCTACAGGGTCTCACTACACAAATCAGACTCATAGTGATCCTCTGTTTTCAGCCTCCCAAGCACTGGGATTACAGGTGCGCACCACTATGTTCAGTCTCATTCACCTGTCAGCACATCCCAGGGGCAGGGCCAGCCTGGCATGCCAGGGCTCCCAGTCCCTACTGCTTTTTTATTTTGAGACAGAGTCTTGCTCAATTACTGAACCTGGGTTCAGACTCAAGGTCTTCACACCTTAGCCTCCTGAGTAGCTTGGATTATACGTATGCCCCTGCCATGCCTGGCTGTTTTTCCCCTTTTTAGATGACAGTGGGTGTTCTAGGAAGGGTACAGATCTGATGCGGTAACTTCCTGCAGGCCCAGCGGTTCCCAATGCCCTGAGCATGCAGGCATTGTCTTACACCTGGTCTGTCTCTCCTACCAGGCTGTGGGTGCTTGAGGACCTCAGGTTTTTTTTTTTTTTTTGTACTGGAGATCGAACTCAGGACCTTGTGCTTACCAAGCAGGCGGCGCTTATGCTGTTGAGCCATCTCCTGGCCCAAGGACCTCAGTTTTGTCTCTTTCATTGTTTCCTAGTAGAACAGGTTCATACATCTTTACCTGTAGTTCTAAAAAACATACAGCTCTGAAAACAGGAAGTTTTTAAAAATTTTGTTATTTTGTTTTTGTTTTTTGTAATTAGTGCAGGGTCTACAGGATCTCACTACATAGACTGGACTTGTACTAATTCTCCTGTTTTCAGTCTCCCAAGTGCTGAGAGTATAGGTGCACACCACCGTGCCCAATCTCAATCTCAGCTTCAGAGTGCCTCAGGGGTGGGGCCAGCACAGTATGCTGGGGATTGAACCCTGGCCCCTGAGTCTGCTTAAGCAGGTGTGTTAATCTGCTGAGCTATCTGGCCAGCCCCAGGAATGTTTTTTGGTTTTTTTGTTTTCCCCTGTAAATTTGATGCCAGAATTTATTTTGCTACAAAGACTGATCAGGCCCAAGGTATTAGTAGCATCACAGTGTTCCAAGGGCAGCGCCTCTCCTGTACTCTGGTGTGTGCATACACATGTGTATATGTGTTTTGTACAAGGGATTGAACCTAGGAGCTACTGAACTATACTCCTAGCTCTCCTCACTTTTTTTTTTTTTTTTTTTTTTTTGAGATAGGCTCTTGCTAAATTCAAACTAGTGCTCATCCAGCTCCTGTCTCCCAAGTAGTTTGGAGACACAGCTAGTTTGTTTCAACTTTTAAATCTGTCCTTTTGTGACCTTGGCTTTAATTGCACTACAAAGAACTAACGAATTCAGTGCTTCCCCTGCTCATGTGGAAACCCTGTCTTAGGGCAGGGAATGTCAGCCAAGTTGAGAGGTCCTGGTAACTTAAGAGACCAAAGACACAGCTGAGCTGTTACAGCAACAGTGATGGCCAAGAATCAAAAGAAAATAGAACGGTGCAAGTGTAGGGATCCTTGCCAGGAAGGGTTGGAGCAGAGTTGGCAGGGAGGATGCCAGCATATGCCAAGGAGTGGATTGTTGGTCGTGAAACAAGCTGGATGTAGTAGGAGGAAGTGAACTTTAAAGGTGAGCATGAATATTCAGGGACTGAGGTGTAAAGCAGTGGGAACAGCTGAAACAGGAAACAGGTGGAGTGGCGGGGACGGGGTTTCTGAGGTCCTGTCCTGTGAAGGCTTTAGTCTGAGCAGTGTGGGTGCAGAGCTTCCGGCCCAGCAAGCCAGGGAGGTGGGAGGGGTCTGCAGGTCTGGGGCGGAGCTGGAAAGTCGCTAAAAGCTGCTGGGGGAAGAGGCGCCCTGTCCTTCCCAGCTATGCAAATGAGCACCCACGGGAACCTGGGAAACATTTTCTGCCTGGTGTAATGCTTTGGCGCCAGGATTTCACAGCACATGGGCAGGCCTGAGAGAGAAACCAGCAGATTGATATTTCTACCTCGCTGCTCCACCACATTGTCTCTTCTTGGATGGCTTCTGAATAGTCATGTGTCTGACATTTACTTTTTTTCATCCTTGAAAGGAATTTTATACTGGGAGAAGCTGGAATAGGAGTACATTCTAGGGCGTGGGTTGAGGTTTTCTTGCTGTTAGACAGGGACCTAGGCTTCCAGTACCACTTCATTTTATTTTATTTTGGAACTGGGAATGAAACTCAGGACCTTGCGCTTGCCAGGCAAGGGCCAAGCCATGGAGCTGTATCCCCGCCCTGGTATCATGTCAGGCCCAAGGGCTTGGGTATTGCACATGACTGCTGGCACATGTTTGGCATGGACTCTGGTCTAACTTGTTTTTTTTAAGATAAGGTCTCTCTGTGTGGTCTAGGGTCTCCCTATGTAGGCCTCTAGTTGCAGATCCTCCTGCTTCAGCCTGCTAAGTACTGGACTCACAGGCATGTGCCACCACATCTGACACACATGATTTTTGAACCTGGAGAAGAAGCCTAGTGGCAGAAGAAGACGGTTAGCAGTGTCATTATTTACCAAAGACATAAGTCGGTACAGAGTGGCAGGGAAGACCCCCCCCAACTTGGAAACGAAACACCTCACCTTTTTTGTACACACAACTCTGCCCACAGCTCAAAGAGCCTGCACTCACCCCTCAAACTTGTGGGGTGCAGTCCAGTGAAAAAAGGATATCAGGGGCTAGGGAGATAGCTCAGTAGAATAAGTGCTTGCCTGGCAAGTGTAAGGGCCTGAGTTCAATCCCTGGTTCTGCCAAAAAAAAAAAAAAAAAAAAAAGGATATCACTTCTCACACACTGACATTAGAGCCAAAAAGGGGCAAAAAGTAAATAGCAAAATCACCACATGAAAGATAAAGGAAATTATGAACAGTACAAGAATCCAAAAAACACTGAAGACAGCAGGGCGTGGTGGCGCATGCCTGTGATCTCAGCACTGGGGAGGCAGAGGCAGGAGGAGCACTGTGAGCTGGAGGCCAGCTTGGGCTATACAGGGGAGAGGGCAGCAAAGCCAGCAGGTGATTCCTTGGAAACTTGATAGAGAGAGTAGACCTTGCAGACTAAACAGGGCGTAGGAGCAGAAGAAATAGGGACGGACCCCAGGGGTGCTCAGGGTATTTCTCAGAGGGTAAAGAGGTAGTTCAGTTTGTGTGTACAACGAGCCACTTTGTGCCAGTTATTAAGAAAATAAGAAAAATCACAACTTACTGAAATTGACTCAGGAAAAAAGAGAAAAGAAAATAGGAAAACTTACAACCATGAAAAGAAAAAACCAAGACCAGTAGAAACACACATGGCCAGCAGAGGGCAACAGGCCTGGCGTCTGACAGGTGAGTTGAACTAGCGATGGAAACATCGCTGCATATTACAGAAACTTCTAGAGATAAGGAAGGCAGAAAGCACACCTGCTGCGGCTTAGGAGCGGCCCTGCCAGGGATGGACAGCAAGAGAGAAAAGTCTTGCTGGGGTGCCCAGAAGAGGGGCAGAGGTACAAACTCTGGAACATCACTGAGGAGCTGGGGAACCTCTGTCCCCTCAACACTCCTGGCCCTGCAAGGCCAGGGCCAGGCCAACCTGCTGGGGTTCCCATGGTGCTGAGCCCAGGAAGAGTCAGGAAGTGGGGCGCTTTGGGGAGGCTGCCTCTGAGTGTTGCCCTTCCGCCTTTTACTCTTCCTTTTCCACAAGCTCTAACACCCACACTTTGCCCCAAGCCCCTTTTTTAGATCACCTGGGCTGAGACAAAGACAAAGCTGGAGTGATTCCAGTGAAGGAAGATCAGCCCAGACCACAGGATCAGTTCAGCTCGCCTTGTTTACCATGTTAGCAGATGGGAAGAGAAAAACTCATTTGACCATTTTAGCAGTGCAGAAAGATGGTAGGGGAAGGTGTCTGATAACAAATAAAAGTGGAATGATGTTGAGGCCATACTTCTAACAAATCAGTTAGAGAATGTTTCTTTCTTTGTGTTTTTTAGACACAGTTTCACTATGTAGTTCAGGCTGACCATGAACTTACTTAACTTTGTACCCCAGCCTGGCCCTGAGCTCACAGCGATCTTTCTGCCTCAGCCTTGAAGATACTGGAATTATAGGTGTGTGCCATGAAGTACAAGTAGAAAAGAACAGATTTAAAATAAAATCAGGAATATATGATAAGGGACTAGATTTTAGGTAATATCAAGAAGTCCTAGAGCTGGGCATGGTGGTACTCTTGTGAAATCCCAGCATTTGGGAGGCTGAGGCAGGAGGATCTTGGGAGTTTGAGACCAGCCTGGGCTACAAAGTGAGCACAAGCCCAGCCTGAAACTGTATAGAGAGACCCTGCTGAAAGAAGGGTCTTCTTTTCAGAAGAAGAGGAAGAGGAGGAAGAAGAGGAGAAAGAAGAGGAAGAGGAGGAAGAAGAAGCAGAAGAAGAGGAAGATGAAGACAAGAAAAAAAGAGGAAGACCTTATCAGTCTCATCAACTGTGAAATGGAATGAATCCCACTAAAAGCAACGTGTGTGCTTTTCAGAGCAGTACCTGAAGGACGCAGGGGCCACAGCGTGGTGTCTGGGATCTGGCTGAAAATACCACAGCAAGGAAAAACAGAAAGAGACAGCAGCAAACGGAAAAGAGCATCATAATCGCTGAATCTGGCTGAGGCCTCTGTGTCATTTTTTTCTACTTTTAAGACTGAACATTTCTGTAAATGAAAATAAATGCAGTGAGGCAGAACTTTACTTCCCTGTCACAAATAATCAGTGACAGGGTGGCCAGCAAGCGGTGGGCAGTAACTGTCTGCCTCCCTCCCGGGACCTCACCAGGCTGGTGGCGGGCTGTGACCCCAGGTATGAGGAAAAGTTCTCTCTGATCGTCTAGGGTCCTCTCCCCACGCTGACTTGTGACACCTCCCAGACGCTCTCTGGGGTCTTGGGCTTTGAGTGAGTTTTGTCGAGCAGGACGCCCGCTCCCTCCTTCCTTCGGGGCGTGGTGTGGCTGCCAGGGACAGTCCAGTCTGACCTGCTGACCGAGAGGAGCCAGGGCCAGGGCTTAGTGGGCACATTCCTGCCGTGCTGCACAATGCCTGTCGCCTGCCACGCTGGATTTTGTGTGCAACCCCCCCCCCCCCCCCGGGGCCCTGGAGTGGAAAATCGGGTGCTGCGGCTTTGTGCAGGAAGGCAGACTGCTGGCGTTGTGGGAATCCTCTGCTCCCAGTCTGTCACCTTCAGGGCATGAGGGCCAGAATGCTGAGGAAGCTGGGGGACTGAGGGGACCCAGGAGCTGTGTGTGTCACATGGTGCATGCCACACACTTGCATGCACACGCCTATGCTCCTCCGCATGTGCCCTCACCTCCCTGTGCACACGTACCACACACCAGGGCTGTGCTGACACCAAGCAGGCACTTCCCGGTGCCTGCCTGTCAGCGTGATCTTGTGGCCGTGGCTTTCCCAATTTCCCCTGTAAGATAATCAACAATTCCACGAAGCTACAGCTGAGCATCGTCTTTCTCTGATGGGCGGCAGGATGTTCTGGGCCCCCAGGAGATGCCTGAGTCCAGATCCAGTGCTGGGCGCTGTAATCCCCGCCGCTTCTGTCCTAATGAAGTGCAGCTGCCCATGGTAGTAGGAAGCTTTGCCACTTGCTGTGTGGCAAGGCAACTTCCTTTTCTTTCTTGATGTCCCCAACAGAACTTACCTCTTTCATCCCAAAGAAGCACTTCCTGGCTTCTCTTTGGCATATCTGAATCACTAGCATCAATACTCTCAATCTTTGGGGCCACTATTAAATAGAGTAGGTGTCACTTGAACACAAGCCCTGTGCTCTGCTCGTGGTGCCTGCTAAGTGGCTAAGGGACGGAGAGTGTACACAGTGTGAAACAGGAACTTCCAAGCTGGGATCGACGGTGATGAGAGATTTCAGCAGGAGGGCAGTTAAGAGAGGAGTTCGCTTGGGCCACCATATCTGGACTTGTCCATTGTTTTCAATGCCACAAAGGCAGGGACTTGGCTTAAACTGTGTTGGGGTCAACAGGATTCAGCCAGTGTTAGTCAAGGAATTCGGCCCTGTGTGATGGTGCTCACCTGTCATTCCAGCAGCAGGAAGGCTGAGGCAGGAAGGTCATGAGTCTGAGGCCAGCCTGGGAAATTTAGCGAGACCTTGTCTCAAAAACAAAAGAAATCTAAACAAAATAAAACAAGAAGCAAAAGATCACTGACCCAAACATAGAGGTGATCCTGAATTATTCAGGTGGCCCAACCTAATCATGGGGTCAGCATAAGGGGGTGGGAGCGTGACAGAGATGGCTGTGGTGTGAGAAAGACTCCAGGGCCCGAGCTTCTGGGGGTGGGGGCAGGGGCAGGGCCAAGAGCTAGGGGCCAGGACTGCAGGAAACCAGCTGTCTCCAGCCTCATGTGGCCCACAGTTCCTTCAGTTTAGTCCCTGGGACACACACCAGACACATGGTTTCCAGGACGTTGAGATGGCAGCTTTTCAAGATGCCCCGGCAGACCCATAGCCTGGGGCCTGCCTGCACCCCAGCCCACTGACTATTTGCAGGGCCAGTATGGGGACAGAGTGAGCACTCCCCTCCGCGCCTCACACAGAGAGAACTGCACACAACACAGGCATTCAAGGAAGGTAAAGCACACCAAAAGGGAAAGTTAAAAATATTCCAAAAGAATGCAAAGCATGCGCACGCACAGAGCACCACGTCTAAGGGAAGTGGCACTGATGACTACCGTTTTTTGGTTGGCCTGGGACTCAGAGTGGTTCAGCCCAGCACTGGGCACTGGCCTGGCCCAGCTGGGCTTCCCCTGGGAGGGGTCAGCAGCCAGATGCTTGCTCCCGTGGGGCCAGCCTCTCCCTGTCCCAGAGCACCAGGGGCAGCTGGCCAGCACTGGAGTGCCAACCCCACCCTGCCCACCCCCTCTGCCCTCTTAGACGTTGGTCACAGGCCAGTCTCCTTTTTCCAAGCTGGTGGCCTGGGTACACAGCTCAGCCTTTCTAGCCCACTTTACAAGTTGCCAGAAGGGTGATGCTGGAATTCATTTCCTATGGTGGCCTGAAGAATTATGAGGTCGCAACCAGCAAAGGTCAAAGGGAGGCCCTGGGGTTGGGGGAGGCACCTGCTGCTCCCAGACATTCATTGTCTGTACCCTAACTGGCTTTGGCTCCTGGGAACTGGAGAAGCAGCTCCTCTAAAATTGTGACAGGGCACAAGGGCCCCATCTAGATTTTTAAAAGAACTCTTTATCAGTATGGGGAACTAGCTCAGTGGCACAGGCATTTCTCCCTGGCAAACTCAAAATCCTGAGTTCAATTCCCAGTACCAAAACAAACAAACAAACAAACAAACAAACAAACCACCAAAGAATACCCTTGGGCTGGGGAGCTAATTCAGTGGCATGAGTGCCTACGTGGCAAGCACAAGATCCTGAGTTTGTTTCCTGGTTAAAACAGTATATATAAGAAAAGCAGGGGTAGGGGTGCCCAGGCACTGTTAGTGAGGCAGAGCTGCATGGGAAGCAGCCGGGAATTCCATTTTCAATACCTGCTCCCTTGCGGGTGTATCAAATACAATCCTCACAGCTGGGCAGGTCTGCTTCTGAGTCTGTGGCCAGTGGAGAATTTGCAAGGATTCCTGCGTGCTCTAGGATGAGCATTTTTCCCACAGCTGAGACCTGGATGCCAGGCAGCAGCTGGGCTGGGCACCAGGAGGCACAGAGAGGGGCAAGCAACTTCTCATGGTCTGGATCACGTAAGCCAAAGCCAGCCAGAGGACTGAGGTGCCTGTCTGGGCCATGTTGGTTGTGCATTAGCATACTGCTGCCCATGGCCAAGTTACTGAAAACTATCAAAAGCTTTCACTGGGCATGGTGGCACAGGACTGTAATCCCAGGAGTCTGGGAGGCAAGAGGATCAAAAGCGTGAGCCCAGCCAGGTCTTGCCAATGACAGACCCAGTGTCCCTGTGATATGGATGAGCCAAAGACTAGGCAGGAACTGTTGGTTTAGTGACCATGGTACGGTCACACCATGGAGACAGAAGGCTTTGCATAGGACAGTGTCCCCCAGGACACGTGTCCAGAGAGAATGTACAGAGGGAGCCTAGAATGTGGGCGTCCTACTCTCATAGAACCCAGCCAGGCCACAGACCTGCAGGGACAAAAGCACAAATACGAGAGTTCATGCGGACATCATGATCGTTTGTTAGTATCTTCTTTCTATGTCCTCCCTGAGATTTCTGCAAGTGTGTGTAATCTTCATGGTCAATAAAAAGTTTTATTTTATTTTTTTGAGGCAGAGTCTTGAAACATAGTCCAGACTTGAACTCACTACACAGCCCAGGTTGTCCTCGAACTTATGGCAGTCCTTCTGCCTCAGCTTCCGAAGTGCTGGAATTACAGGCCTGCACCACTATGCCCGGCTGCGATTCTGCTTTTGAGAAAGTGTCTTCTCTCAGTAGTTGCCGTGAGATTTGGGGACTGTCCAACTTGTGTGTCTGTTTTCTCCTCTGAGGATGATATGAGTGACCCCTCCAAGGGTGGCTGTGAAGACCACTCAGGGCAAGGTGTGCAAGAGCTGAGACTCTCTATGGCCCCTGGTGAGTGTGGGGCACAGGACTTCTTGGGGACATCTGTCCTCCTACTGGCCCCAGGCTGGGGGAGGCGGGTCCACAGCCCAGCAGGGCTCTGCTGACACTGCAGCCTCCTTCCTGAGCTCAGGCATTTTCAGAGAAATCCCTTAATGCTCCCATTCTGTCAGGGTGTATATAGGGAGAGCTGGCGGCCAGCTCCCCACTGCGCTGCCCAGAGGCCCCTGCCAGACTTGTCTCCTGCCTCTGTTCCCTGCGGCCGAAGCAGACATGGACGTGACCATCCAGCACCCCTGGTTCAAGCGCGCTCTGGGGCCTTTCTACCCCAGCCGGCTGTTCGACCAGTTCTTTGGCGAGGGCCTCTTTGAGTATGACCTGTTGCCCTTCCTGTCCTCCACCATCAGCCCCTACTACCGCCAGTCTCTCTTCCGCACCGTGCTGGACTCCGGCATCTCTGAGGTAAGGCCCGGCAGCAGCGCCGGCTTCTCCCAGCTGGTCATGGAGAGGACAGCTAGGGGTGCCTGAGGGGCCAGTGATGTCCCCGATGCTTGCGTCTTGTCCCCAGAGCTGATGATCTTGCAGAGGCTGGGCGGGAGCCTCCTGCACCAGTGGTGGGGTTGGAGGAGGAAGCCAGCCCGAACCCGACCACTGTCTTTTCCTCCATCAGCTCATGACCCATATGTGGTTTGTAATGCACCAACCACATGCTGGAAACCCCAAGAACAACCCCACCAAGGCAAGTCGATGGCACAGGCGAGCTCCTGGGGCTCACTGCTCCCCGAATTTTCTGGGTGCGGGTGGGGTTCACTGCCCTGAGATCCAGAGAGGAGGGGCTTCCTGTCTACACAGCACAGCTGGTGATGCTGCAGAGGCTGTGGGCTCTGCCCAGCTCTCTTGGGTGCCTCAGCCATGAGGCTACCTCCCTCCCTGCCCTGAGCTGTGGCGACAGAGTCAGCCCCCGGGTCTGTAGCAGCTGAGTGTCACCACTGCTTGAAAAGCAAAGGCTCCCCTGAGCAGGGACACCACCTCCAGTGAGGAAGGTCCCTGGACGGAGGCCCTGAGCTTGGGCAGAAGCAGAGGGTGACAGGTTTGAGGGCTGGCTGCTGGCTTCACAGCCATGGACAGACGGCTGAGGGGCTGCTGATGGAGCCACAGGAACAGCAAGCTTCTCCTGCTGTTTGTACCCTCAGCCAGCCAGCTGCTAAGGAGGCAGCAACCCATAAGTAGCCCCCCAACCGTAACTAAATAACTGCCAACACACAATGAACAACCCAACCCATAACCAACCAGCTAGTTCACCTGTGACCAATCCAATAAGCTAGCTAACCCATCATCAGTCATCTAGCCAGGCCATGGTCAGTCAGATAGTCAACCCATAAGCAACTAGCCAGCTAACCCATCACCAACCAGTTAACTAATCTATCACCAACTAGCTAGCTAGCTTATGACACCAGCAAGCCAACCTATTGAACAACTAGCTAGCCAAACCAAACCACCACACTGACCCATAGCCAGTCAACAGATTCACTTACCAACCTATAACCAGCAGCATGACTTGATTAGTGAGCCAACCAACCCACAGCCAACCTATAACTAGCCAGTAGTCCCTTTCCCATCCAGCCAACCTGGCACCATGTAGGCTTTAGCCAGCACCTCCTACCCAGGGACACAGGATACAGGGACACAGGACACAAGTGCGTGGTCCCAGCCTGCTATGTTCTTCCCTCGGCCTGCGGCACTGCAGCAGGCTCAGTGACCATGGTCTGTTCTGTGGGTAGGGACCAGGCACCGGAGCAGTCTCGCCTGCCCAGCAGGGCTGCACAGCAGTGCCCTGCCTGGGAGCTCCATATAAGGGTTTGGATTACAGGTCCGATCTGACCGGGACAAGTTTGTCATCTTCCTGGATGTGAAACATTTCTCCCCTGAGGATCTCACTGTGAAGGTGCAGGAGGACTTCGTGGAGATCCATGGCAAACACAATGAACGGCAGGTGAGCTTGACAGGCCAGGGAGAAGGTGATGGCCTGCCCAAGTCAGCGCCCCCAGGGCCTGCGGCTACTGTCATCCTAAACCCTATAAGGCTGGGGCTCTGGGTGTGTGCTGGCCTTGCTGGCCCTTGAGGGGACACTCACAGCTGGACTCCTCTGGGGTTCTGGGATGGTCTTTCTCCATTGTGGAGGGACAGCAGTCCTCTCGGGCCATGTCTCTGATGGCGCTCTTCTCTGGCCCATACCCAGGACGACCACGGCTACATCTCCCGTGAGTTCCACCGCCGCTACCGCCTGCCCTCCAACGTGGACCAGTCGGCCCTCTCCTGCTCCCTGTCCGCAGATGGCATGCTGACCTTTTCTGGTCCCAAGGTCCAGTCCGGCCTAGATGCTGGCCACAGCGAGCGGGCCATCCCTGTGTCACGGGAGGAGAAGCCCAGCTCAGCCCCCTCGTCCTAAACAGGCCCTGGCCCTGGCTGCCCCTGCGGCCCCGACCTGCTGAGCCCAGGGACCACAGAAGAGGCATCTGCCTTCCTTTCTTTTCCTTTTCTTTTTTCCCTTTTCATCTTCTCAGAGGGAATGAGGGTTTGAGAGAGTGGCCCGGAGACCTCAAGGCCTTGTTCTGTGGGGCCATGGCCTGGGGTGCCCCAGGCCCAACACTGGCCAGGCATGGGAGTGACTGACCCAATGGTTCTCTAGCTAAGATCTCATCCCCTTGGATGGGCAGGAGGAGGGGTGCCCAACCCAAGCATAGTCCTTGCCAGTTGTCTGGATGGATGTTGGGCTGGAGCAGCCCCTCTGCAAATCCTGACCATGCTGCCCACTGTGTCGCGAGGTCTGGGGCACTGGGGCTCCTGGCCTGCTCCCTCACTCCGTCTTCCTGCACCCTTCCTCTATGTAGTACCGCTCGGGAACTCCGGTCACCCAGGAGAATGCAGCCTGTGGCAGCCAATAAAGAGCAGGTGGCACAAGCAATCGCTGTCTGGCCTTGTGCTGTTCCCATTGGGATGTTGGGAGGGGGCTGACCTGCTACAGGAGATCAGGTCACCATGGTTGGCAGGTGCCAGGTGGGGCCCTTGGAGCAGTGCCATTGTTACATGGGCACACGGACCCTGACAATGCCCTCTGTCAGGGAGGGAACCCTGGGTCTGGGAGGCCGAGATTGCAGGGCTCTGGGGCTGAATGGGCCAAGAGAATGGCACCAGCTTCCTCCTCCTCGGAGAAAGTGGATGGGAATTTGAGAGAGACCACTGCCCAGTGCACCAAGAGGGTCCTACATGCACACACACACACACACACACACACACACACACACACAGTCTATCTGTCCATCTCCTGGCCTCCTGGGATGAGCAGCTTCATCCCTCCTGCCTTTGTTTCCAAGTTGTCCCATGCCATCTGTGCATTGAAAGCCAGGGCCTGGCTGCTTCACTGCTTTGAGATGGTGGGACTCTGGGATGGAGGAATCCACTGAGACCCTCATGAGACATCCTAGAGGACCCCTTCTGGGCCTAGACTTCCTCACCTGTCTGGGGCCAGCCACAACCCATGTCTCCTCACCAGAGGGTCTGACCTGGACAGTCTTCCCTTCATGGGGCTGCTAGGTCCCATCACCATGGGTACTGTGGAGTCAAGATCACAGAGTTCCCAGCAGGCTGCAGATTGGCAATCACCCCACAGCAGTCTTGGGGGTCAGCATCATCCTCCCTTGATACTGGACATGGGGGCAGCTCTGGAGTAAGACATCCTCCAAGTTGTCCCTAGGGTCAGGCCCAGGAGATGCCACGCTGGGCAGAGTTGTGGCCTGGACCACTCAGAGTCCTGGTGAGTCTGGAAACACTGCTGTGGCAGGAAGCTGCATCTACACAAGTGCTAAGGCAGAGGATGCACCTTGGGCCATGGCTGCCCTGCTGTGCCCTGGAGTCTGAGTGGCTATCAAGAAGGTCCCATGGCTTCCTGTACCTAGAGGCTGCCTACCCACCTGTACATACCTGTGTCCAGTCCCTACTTCATCCCTTGAGCATGTCTCCCTCTGTGTCAGTTGCTTGGTCTGGCTCTGGGATGCTGAGGTCAAGTGTACCAGCTTTCTTCTTTGTTCCTCACTTCTGGGGTGCATTCATGTCTAAGACCCCACCCCTACCCCCTAGTCCCTGGAGATGAGAGTCTGCCATGCATTCTGGGACATCCTACAGTGCATTCTGGGACACCTCACTATGTATTCTGGGATACCCGGCTGTCTCGGGAAGGATAGGAGGTGGTCCCAGAGAACCACCTATCATATTTTGGGACCTAAACAAAGCCTAGAGTGACTGTCCAGGAACCAGCATATCCTAGGGTCTCTCAAGTGATTACCGAGACCAGGTACATGGGGAAGATGCCAAACAGCCATGGCTGCCTCTTGGAGCTGTGCAGTGCAAGAGCAAGAACAGTGAGGCCCCTCCTGTGATCTTGATGTCATCATCATTTCCAATGCCATCAGTGTCTTCATAACACCACAGTCGCTGTCACCATCACTATCCTTGGCGGCAGCAGCAGTGAAGAACCATTAATGGAATGTCTATGGGGTGCTGGGCTCGGGACTGGCCATGATGGCCTCTTGTAACCTTCAAAGCAGCCTGGGACTTGGGTTCTATTGTTAGAGGATATCTGGGGTAGAAATTGAGTCATTAGCCTGGTGTCTCCCCAGAGTCCACCTTAAAAGCTATGACTCCAGCCCTAAGCATCACATGGAACCTGTGAGCTAGGAGCTCTGAGGAAGGCAGGTCCTGGCCCTGTTCTGTGACTTACTGTGTGAAGGTGGGCAGTTCCTCTGAGCCATGGAGCACCCCTTAAGGAAAGACTTCCACACCAGCCATCCTTCTTTGCACTGACCACCAGGTGGCAGCAGAAGCCTTGCTTGCGCTCTGTGTCCTTGGCCCACCTGAGACTGAAGTATCAGCCTTAAAGGTCACCTTCATGGGTGTGGGGAAGAGAACCAGTGCAGAAACACCCAAAGAGACGTGGCTCGGAGGGTTCCGAGGCTGTACAGTGTGGAGCCAGGAGACATGCCCTAACCTCTAAGCTATGTCCAGCAGGGAGCTGGGACTGGGGATTTGGGTCCCAGAGCTGTGTGCAGAGCCTGTGGCGTCTCCTTGACACTGTGCTTTGCTTTTGTTTGCTGTCTATGAGATCAGCTGGAAAATAAGTCAGGGCAGGCAGGCAGCTGGGTGCTGTGCAGGCCAGCAGCTCTGGCGGGGCTCCTGGAGAGTGGCACCGCCTGCTGCGGCCTGGCTGCTCTGGCTCTTCCTAGGAAGACTCTGGCCTCCCTCCTGCCCACAACCACAGTGGCCTGAGTGGCATGGGGCAGCGAAGGTGCTGACAAGCAGCTTGGTAGACACAGGTGTCGGTCACGGACTGGATGTCCTGAGGCCGGGGCTCTGTGCAGCTGCCAGCAGGCTGGGCAGAGGGGCCTTGTGCTCAGGGCCAGCTGCTCCGGGCACAGCAGGAAAGGCCACAGGTTGGGAACAGGGCTCTGCCTGCACTCTGCCCTTGGCACACTTCCTGGCTTTAGGAGTGGTACTTGAGAAGGGGGCCCCTGACCCCGCTGCAGCTGAGTTGGAGTTGGCTTGGCACAAGGACTCGTGGGGTCATCTGCCAGGGTCTGGTGCTGCTGGCCAACAGCCAGGAGCTGGAGGATCAGTCCTGGAAGATCTGCCTGGACCCTTCCTTACAGCAAGAACTTTCCCCCAGGAGGGTATATTTCTAGGTTCTGGCATTTAGAATTCAGACTATCTTTTGGGGAACCCCCCGGGGGTTTTCAGGAGACAGAGACAGGGAAGCCCAAACCTGTGCAGACTTTTCTCACTGGAAAGACAGAGGGAAAGAAAGGTGTACGCACACACACACACACACACACACACACACACACACACCCCTATAACCCTGCACATGCAGTGCACGTGCACAACAAGCGGAGGCACATGCATATATACATGTGCACCGGGGCACACATACACGTATGCTCTACTACGGCCCCAGCCAAGCTCTGGGCTCTGTGGCCAGCCTGGCACGGCTCCAGCTTCTTTCTGTCTGATTTGTGCCTGAACTTGAAATGTACAATCACGCAATCACATGTCATTGGCATTATTCCATTTTAGGAAAAAGCTCTGCCTCATGCTCAAGGACACCCCAAGGTCACCAGAAAGGTAGAGCATCGAGAAGCAGGGGCTGGCTCCTGTCTTGTGCCTGAGTCCATGAGCCCCTTGCTGTTACTTTCCAGGACTGAAAGATCAGTTTACCAATGTGGGCTGGCAGTGCCCGTGCAGACTCTCTGGACAGGGCAGGCCTGGGGAACATCTCAGGCTGGATGTGACAATAGGTGATCTCTCAGGATGGGACAGGGACACCATCTCTGGGGGCAGGAGGGAAGACAGCGTACCCCAAAATTCTGTCCACAGCAAAGGTCACTGAGACCTTCAGCCACAGCCAGGTTCCAGGTGGCACTGAGAAGAGCACGGTTCTCCAGGAGGGGTTGGGGTGGCTTGCTCTGGGGAGTGCTAGGGGTTTTGGGGCACAGCACCAACTGTGTGCCCAGCTGCTTCTCTCCAGACCCCACCTCAAGATCATGTCCTGCCCAATAATCTGCTTCTGGTAAGTGAGATTTTTGGGGAGCCAGTCCAGGTCCCCAGGTGGCACGTGTGTGTCCCAGGGCTGCTGTGACAATCACCATGAGCTGGTGGCATAAAAGCAGCAGAAATTCACTCAGAGATGCGAAGTCAGAAAACAAGGTGTCTGCGGGCCTGCTGCCTCGAGGGTCCAGGGTGAATGCCTCCTGCCTCTTCCTGCTCCCGGGAGCCCGGCCAGCCTGCAGCTGTGCAAGCCTGGGTGCTCTGCTCTTGCTGTATGGACACGGCCACAGGACTCGGGGCTTGTCAGACCTAGGATACCTCACTCGGACCCTTTGTTATCAGCAAGGGCTTCCACCTATGGGTGTATTTCCAAGTCCTGGGTTTTAGAATTTGGGCCATCTTTTCAGGGACATTAGACCAAACACAAGTGTCAGTGTCACCCTGAGTCACTCTGTGTCTCTGTCTTCACAGTTGTGTACACTGTTGTGTGTGTTCCACTCCAGAAGCTCCTGGGGTTGGCAGGACAGAAATCAATCCCTTTTAAAAATGAAGAAACAGGGCTGGTGAGATGGCTCATTGGTCTAAAGCACCTACTAAGAACAAGCTTAGCAAAGCACAGGGACTGCGATTCAATCCCCCAGCACCACATGCCAGCCAGCCCCGCCCCCTGGTGGGCTGAGCTGGCCCCCCCACACAAATAAATAAAAATTAAAAAAAAAGAAAACATTAAAAAAAAAATGAAGAAACTGAGGCCTAGAAATGCATAAGGTGTAGGGTGGGAAGCCTGGAGTGGGACGCAGTTCAGTACAACCTTGCCACACTGAGGCCAAATACCATGTCCCGTGACATGTA